ATATATATATATATATATATAACACTAATTTCGAAGCAAATCAAATAATTTTTAAGCTCATATTGATTGTTCTTATGTAATCCATTAACTTTGAATTATCACATTTAAGGTTTATTTGAGACAACTTTATTATTATTTTACTTTTCAAACTGCAATCATGATTTCTATTTAATTACTGTTTCCAATAAATTTATGAGCTAAAAAACAATTTTTTTTAACCATTCTGAAAGAAGCTAATTTTCACATAATAATTTTACAAACAACTTTATAAAAAGCTAGAGCCCCCTCAAACAAGCCCATAGAGCAATTAATTGCAAAATTGTACTAAAGATACATAGAATATTTTTTATATCAAGATGAGCATATTTTTATAATATGTAATTCACCTCAATGCAATGAAATTATCAAATATTTTTTTCACCTCAATGCAATGAAATTATCAAATATTCATAATATTTTTTTTCTTTTATGATTATATTTGTAAATATTTAATAGTTTAATTTGAGAATACTAAAGAATTATTGAATCAAAATCATTATTGCACCTCAAAATATGTGTTTGAATTTTCCATTAGAATGAACATGGAAAATAAAATCTAGCTTGTTGGTATAGTAAACTCATCAAATCGGCTAACTATTAAAAATAATAGTAATTTATGCTTGGTAGAATATTCACAATAATAAAAAAAAATAATTTAATATTTTAATATTATAAAAATCTTTCATCAAATAGGCATCAATTTTTTACGTGAAAAAACTCGAGAAAAAATCAAAAGATTTGAAATGGCTAAAATTATTCGACTAATATAAGTCATGTATCAAAAGACGACATTCTCCTTAGATAAGGCATTGATATAATGAATCAAATATTAATTGAAAGATGACTTTCATGGAGAAAGTGGAGGTTTCATGGTCATATTGGAGCCTTGAGGTATTAAAGCTAATATCAGAAGATTATTTATGGCTCACTTCATTATTCTCTTAAAAGAAATGGAGAACAAAGAGGAATCCATCAAACTTAATGCCAAATTCAAATTTGATTGCTTGGTCAAGAAGAAATTAAAAGAGAGAAGAAGAGAAAGATTTTTGAATCGTATTTGTCAATCATTCGTGTTACAAATTTTGTTCAATTCATTATAAGTATTTAATCTTGTACTTTTGCTTTCAATAATTTTGATTTCAACAAATTTTCTCCCCCAAATCTGCCAAAAATACATTATCTCTGAATTTCAAATATTTATCATTTAAATTTGTATATGTTATAAATTTGATCATTCTAAATGATTTTGATATAATTTTATAACATTTTAAATGAAATGCTAAACGATATTAAATTTATGATATTATAACTGCACAAGATATTCTACTCATCCACATGATCCATTAATTAAGAGTCATAAGAAACTGAAGATTGATTGAGAATTATAAGTAGTCGGGGCGACTGATTTACATGATTCAATGAGAGTTATAGTAAGTAAATTAATTTTGAGTTACAATGGGTGACTGATTAGAATTCATAAGTGTGGAAATAATATACTCTTAAAATACACTCATTAAATCTTAACATTAATACTATTTACTATCATTAACATTACTTAGCATTATTCATCTTGATACTAATATTATTACTTACATTATTATTAATGATAGTTATTGATATTATAATTAAAAATGTGATGTATTGAGATATGATGAACTTAATTTAGAAGGATAAGTTTATGCAAATAATAAGTATATACATTAATGCTTATATCTTTTTATATGATTTACAACATATTGTTCTTGTTCCTCTTGCATTAATTTTATCTATAAAATTTTATTTACTTAAAGAACTACGTGCTCATTAAATAGTTTTAAATATTTTCACTTAAAAAGGCTTAACCTGCAATATAAAAATGCAAGGAACCACTACAGAATCACAATGTTTCAGAAGAACCATAAAGGACATCAGAGTTCATTTATTAGGCTGGACCATCAGCATAAATCGCCTATGTTCAGTACTTTTGAAGTAAATCAGATGCAGTACAAAACTAAAAAATGTGTATTTACTCTCACTTTTCAACAATCAAAAAGCCAAGCAACTATATGCAGATTCAAGCTTAGTTTTGGACGGCTTTTTCATTGCTTAGTTTTGGACGGCCTTTCAGTAGGTAGTTTACTGAAAGGATACTAAGGCTTCATTTGGAACGGCTTTTTCATTGCTTCTTTAATCAGCTTTCTAGTTTAAAATTTAAAATTTTTATACTATAAAGATGCCTTAAGAATCAATATAAAAGACGTCCAAAAGAAATTATAAACTTAAAAGTTAAACTAAAACATACTTTAGTACTGACGAGAGTGAAGGATTGCTCTTGACTGAACTAATCAACTGAGCTACATAGCTAAACAATATTATTATATAATAACCTTGTGAACTATCTTCCTTCTTTCATTAAGATCTTGCTCCAATTCCCAAATCCATTAATTCTTAGATTCCATTGCCACAGCTAATATTTGTATTAACCTTCTCCCTTGAGAAAACAATAGCCTGAAGCTTGTAAAATTTCATGAACTTGCTTCAGACTCTTGAAAGTTTAACGGAATAGTACAGTTTCTGGCAGCTAAATGAAGAGTATGAAATGAAAAAATCATAGCTTCTAAGAGAAGATTGTGGTTTAGTTTGGGACAGTTTTCTTACTGCTTCTTAAAATAGTTTTTAATACAAATATCAAAAATTTTGAAGTAAAAAACTGCATTAAGAAGCAGTAAAAAACCCGTTCCAAACGAGGCCTATATCTTCTCAGACAAGACGAATTCAAAAAATGAGGCATAGGAGATGCATCTGTTACTATCAGTGTCAGTACAAAGAAGAAATCCATCAAAATTAATGAAGTCAACAACAAACAGAAACCTGTAGCTGAGACTGCAGATCTTTCTAACACACTGAAAACTACGTAACGAAACAAATTCAACTTGCCAAACAATTTATTTGTCATAAACAAAACAAATGAATGGTAATAATCTGCATCATATGACTACAAAATATTATATATATATATATATATATTATCTGAATAATAGATATTTTCCTCCAAATTTCTATAGAACGACATATTTGTAAACTTGCATGCAATGGTGATGATGTTGTTAAAAAGAAGGATAGGATTTAACAAGACATGATGATTTTGATTAAAATTAATTAATAACGAAAAGCCCCACATAGTGGTGCAAAGTCTTGATGTTGTTATTGCCGTTGTAATAATGAAAAGCATATATATGAAAAGGCTCAGCAAATCCGCTTAACAATAGAAAGATG